GGCGAGTGTGAGCTCATTTATTTTCTCAATCCGCATTCACCCCCAAATCCATACTAGTTGAAGGATTAAGATAGCTTTATAAAATACGGGTATATTCTTTAGATAACCACTGATGTAAATATTTGTCAAGTGCAAGATAACGATAATTACGTCTCCTCCTATATAAATCAAGATTTTTTTGGTATTCATTTCAGACATTGATTATTCACAGTGGTCTATCTCTACCGACTGATACTTCTAGTAATTGCCAAGCATCTAGTAAGTGAAAATTGTGATCGATTCTACTGTAAAGAATCACTGTATGAAATACACAATGTTATACCAAAGTTTCTTGGTATTGATACTAATCGTCAGCGCAGTGGCTGAAGCAAATGTTGGCAAAAAGCTTGTTTGCAAACAAATGGACAATTCATTGGATGCTCCCAGAGGCTATTGCGAATTATCTAAGAAAGGTTGCACTTGCACAGATGATTGTGAAAGCCCACTTTCACAGTCAGACTGCATTTGCACAACAAGGGATTTATCATATGCTCAACAAGAAGGACTGGCTAACTGTAGTGCATGGACACAAAATCGATGGCAGGAATACCTTCGAGTTTCAAGACCTAAATCTGATTTTAAACCGGTAGCGCCAAGCAACTCTATGAGTAAGTTTGAAAAAGATCTAGTTAGTTCATCTGATATTCCCAGCTAAGTTCAAAACTTTTCAAATAGATGCATTTCATTTCTTATGTGACGATATTCAAGCGATAGGAAATAGATGAAGATCCTAGAGTGACATAATATTCTCATTCTTTCTCACTGAGCTATTTAGTTAGCATGATAGTTTCACTCATGCCAATATCAGCTATGTGTTTTGGATAATTCTATCGAGCAAGCATCTCTCAGACTGAAATCTATATTTTCATTGATTGTTTTCGGTTTTGTTCAACTCTAATTAAATAGCGTGTCAAAAAGGCTTCAAATTCTTCAAGCTACATTTTATCAAAATTTCATCGAATGTTTAAGCTCTTATTCTCGAATAGAAACATAAATTTAGTTTATCACGTTAGCTATGCAGAGATTATTTACATCACGTTATATTTATGCCATGCTAGAGAGGATATTTAAGTTTGACAATGTATGAGGGAAGCGCACGTTTGTGTGTGAAGGTTTGCAACAATAAATCCTCCCTGTTTTCTAAACCCATTTGACTACTCAAACTCCCTCACAAACAAATAATCGTTTCATTCCCACACTCACATGCAAATGGATTTCTTCTTCTGCATTATCACACTTGAAGTTGATAAGATCAAGCAATATTTCTATATGCTCTTATTTACGAGTGTTTTTATTTAAAAAACTCTGAACTGCGCCTAGAACCCCCACTCGTAAGTTAACGCTCTAGAAAATCGGTACCTGTAAATGCCGAGATTATTATGATTCTGAAGCATTTCTCTAAAAAGCATAAAAAATAAACTAAAACAATGTGCCATCAATAGAGTGATTATGTAAGCATGACTTCATACTGCAGGAATACTCTTTGTTGTGCTATAGTTATATCGATACTAGAAAATTAAATAAAAACTTTATCGACTAACTTGACTGACAAGTTTTATTGATGAGATGAAACTACAATTGACATTATTTCTATGCTTATATAGATAGACAATAGTATAAGTCGAGATCGAAAAAGCCTCGAAGTTTTCAATGTTAACCTGCTGCTTAGAGCAACAAGTTCTAAAGGTTTGACATCTTTCAAATTTCAGATGGGAAAAGATTGTTCTTCTCGGTGAATCAACGAGGTCTGGCATGGCCCATGACTCGTGCTTTTGGTTCGGAAATCCTGTCCATACATGGTCCTCACTGTTTGCATATGGTAAAGATGTTCAATGACATTGTTAAAAGTGGGAAAACTCTCGGCAACAATTATCATCGCTCACATACAGATCACTGTCGTAGATTAGCACGTCGTGTGCTCGCTTATTATACAACCATCGAAAAGGATTATCAGTAAGCTAAAATACTATTTAAAGAAATTTAGATGTTAATATTATATTTCTATCTTAGAGTACAACCAAAAACATTATGCCAAGATATTCGTACAGAATATAATGGAATCCATCCCCTACATTTGAATCGAGAATCTGATAATAGTCGCAGAATCAGTTACAGTATCAGTTACGGCAAAAGATCTGCAGATTTCAAGCATACAAGCAACAAACCAATTTCTATTTATAAAATACTTTATGCTCGCGCACAGAAAGAAGAAAATGTCACACGACCTTCAGAACAAACAGTATTCGATTTGATTTCAGGGCACAACTTGGGAAATCTTCTGGTTAAAGAATGGTTGCAATTGAAAATGACATCTCAAGAAAAAGCTTTTATTAAAGAATGGGAGTCGGATTATGTAGTTAGAATAGCTGCATTTGGTATTTACTGCATCACTGGTAAAGGTCTAGAAGCACCAATTGACACTATTCGAAATCTGTTGCTCATGAAGTAGTGAAGCCTAATGTTGCTAACTTCAAAAACTGCTGCCTATCTGCAACTTTTAACGCTAAATAAACTAGCATATTCTTAAATAATAAAATACTCTTGAAAATCGTGATGAGGTTAGGGATGAATGTGAGATTCGTTTTGCCTAAGGGGAAAACAACATTGGTACACCGATTGTATTGTACAAAATGTACACTTCACAATTATTAAGGGAGCCAAGGAAACTTGATTTTTTTTTAAAAAGATTACAGAACATTGCAAAGAAAGTATATATGTAAGAGGTAGAACCTCTAAGGTATTTTTACCAGACACGACATTGCGTTGTTTACTTTGTTTTTGTTAACATCGAATGTCTAGATGGATAAGAAGAATGAAAAAAGAAAGCAAAAAATGTGATGGATCTAGATTATTATTTAAATACATAGGATATGTTGGGTCCAGATTCGATCTTTTTTTTGTTTTGTACTGCCTAAAAACCTGTTTCAATACTTCTTTTAGTTGTCCCAGGTAGAAATCGATGAGTTCTATGACTTGGTAAAACTTGTTTCTCGATAACATATACCTTTATTGAGAAACTCTTACTTTAGTGACCCAATGTTCTTAATTCTGGAATATTCTTTAGGCAAAGTGATGCCTTTTCGATAATATTATTTGCTTTCAAGATACGATTTTCATCATCTTAAAGGACTCGTTGAGTTGTACTCGAAACAGGAATAGTTTTTGGAACAGATCTTTGGGTAAATCAACTTATGAAATACTGTAGAAACAGTTTTCACCATTTGATAGAGCTTGTCGAGTTGCACATGAAACATGTACACTTTTGATGGAACAAGTTCCAACTCGAAGTTGAGCCTAATAGATTTTCTACCATCAAAGATCAGTTAGATCATGCAGCTTTCAATTCTGATTTGAATCTCTTTTATCGAGCATGAAATGAGTAGTGTTAAGTAGACGAAATGACGAAATTTGGTAAAGTAGCAGATAAATCTTTATGCCAATTAAACAACAAGTATTTGGCATTCGAACGATCAGTCAACTGTGTTGAGCAACGGCAACGCACATTGCATCAGCTTTTTGCAAACAAGGAAAAACTCAAATGAGGAAGAAAAACGAAGATAGCAACGAGTAGTTTTGATCTACCACTCTCTGAGTTATGAGCCCAGCACACTTCCACTGCGCCACGCTTCTTGTATTCATCTTTTAGATAAATGCAAGTTAATGACATAAGTCTTTATTTCAAGATGATTGCCTTCATGTGCATAGATATATCTAGTCTAAAGTTTTCTTACAGTCTCTTATTTTTCTTTGCATAAGAAATTGATTTCTATGAAATCAGATTTAACAATGATTGTATTCTTCCCTTCATTTTCAATTCCTATGAAAGGGAAACATTTGAACATTTTTCTCGGATCAGATCGGAAATAATGTACAGCAACAATGGCATTAACGTTAAAATCGCTCAAGCGCTGGAACGGAGTTATAATACGTGACATGCACAATCATTGTGAATCTTATAAGTCAAGAATAGATAAACTTCTTGAGTTGTCTAATCTCTCATTTTCAATCTCTATATCATA